GCCTGCCCTCCTCCCTCCCTGATCACCACCAGTACTGGGAATAAAGTTATTTTCATTGCAGTTAGTTTTGCACAGGTGGTACCACCTGCTGCAAGTTCCTTCGTTTTGAATAGTGCTCTAACAATTCTGAGACTTTAGAAAGTTTATGTTTTTCTTGCAAGGTTTACTCCCCACTCAGTTCTTGAAGAAAAGAGGAGAGTTGTGCAATATCTCCATAGACAGCCTCCTTATGGTTACTCTAGAAGGGAGGAACTGTCCCACATTAGTGCTTGTGAATGTAAATGCCTGTGGCCCAGTGTTGATGGTGGCATTTGCCCAAGCCCACACTTACCTTCAGAATTCTCCAAAATGACCGAGAATAAAAGCAGTATTTTTTTCATTTGTGTAGGAGTTTCTGATACACTCTTTCCAAATTTGGTTTCCTTCCTCATTTTTAAAGTGGCAAAAAGAAAAAACAAACCCACCCCAAAACACAAAAAAAGCAACACTGCTGACAATCTCAGAGTTGACTGGCTCCCTAAGAGTTATTATTCTTTCCAACTGAACATGACTGTAGTTCAAAGGGAAACTTTAGGAGGAGAACTAAGAGAAGTATTCAGATTAAATCAGAGTTATTTGAGGAATTTGATGGTTGGGGGAAGTGATATTTAAAAAATCATATGAGAAAGTTAGAATTACAAAGCAGTAAAAAACTATAGTAATTCTTTCAAATGTGTACCAGTACAATAAAATTAGTAATTTATGTATGCATTGAAATATTATTTTATGTCCATGAATGTAAAACTATTTAGAGATCTATGATGAGGAATTTATACTTCAAATATGGTAGTAAAATGTGTTGACGGTACACCTCATTATTTCACAGACTTAGTTAACCACATGTTGTCATATTCTTGAGTAAATATTCATATTAATTGCATTCCCCTCAACTCAATGTGCTCCATTCACACTTTTTCTTGGTTTCTTATACCTGCCAACCTCTTTATTGGCTTTATGCTTTCTGTCCATGCTGAAATGTTTTCCTCACAGTAGCTCTTTACCTTTTGGGTCTTAAATGTCACATTATTTAAATATCTGCCCATACCACTCAATCTAATATAGATTGCCCTGTTAATTTCTATCCCAGTACCCTGATTGTTTCCTTAATAACATTTGTTATAATATGCAATTATTATGTTTATTTGATTCCTTTGTTATTTTCTCTTCCTCTAATAAGCATGGAAACTCCATGAAGGCAAGAACTTTGTGTCCTCTTCATCACTGTATGCCCAGCAGCTAGTATAATGGTTGACACGTTAATAGGCTTCCACAAATAGTTCTTGAATACATTAAAGCATGCATGAATGGATCTCTTGAAAATAGCACTCTCTTGAAAATGTAACATAATTGTGATCCCTGAATCCTTAAATTAACATAATAAGGTTATCAATGGCAAGATAAAAGTGTAACCATTTCATGCATTTAGCAAATACTAGGAAATTTCAGTTAAACAAATGCAAAGTAATTCACAGTAATTGACTGGACAGTTTAATTTCATGTTTTAATCAGAAATTAGATAGTTTCAGGTAAGTTAACCAGTGTTTCTTCATAGTAATTCAACTTTTTTCTAGAAAAGAATGCTGCATTCTAGAAAATATAAAGCTGACCTTTGAAACTTAGCAGGCAAGCACTGCTAAAATCAGTGGGAATGAAAGAGGAGGAGGATGGGTGACTGATGTTACAATGTATTTTTTGGTTGAACTGTCTATAAAATGCTATTCTTTTTGTTAATGTTTTGTGCTAATTGAAATTTTTCAGTCTTTCAGTGTTAATTAGTTAATTTTTTAGTGTTTTGGGCATCTAAAATTCATTTTCATAAATACTCAAATGAAATTGACCAATAATAGTTGTCATCTCTAAATAGTTCTTTTTTGCATTATAAGCAGTTGAAGGAAATGTAGAGAAATGTCGGCAGCAAATATGGATTTGTAATGGATTTGCTTTTTCAAGTTTAATTTAATACCTTAAAGCTGCCATTCCATGGAATGCTTTAGCCTGACTCAGTTGAGCACATAATTAAAAACCTATATATAATTATTTTTCCCCCCTGGAAAATTATTTTAACTTGTTTATCTTAAGAGTTGGTACCAGTCTGGGCACAGTGGCTCATACCTATAATCCCAGCACTTTGGGAGGCCGAGGTGAGAGGATTCCCTGAGCTCACGGGTTCAAGACAAACCTGGGCAACTTGGTGAGACCTCATCTCTACAATAAATAAAAAAATTAACTGGGCATGGTGGCGCATGCCTGTCGTTCCAAGTACTTGGAAGGCTGAGGCAGAAGGATTGTCTGAACCCAGCAGGTCAAGGCTGCGGTAGCTGTGAGCATGCCACTGCACTCTAGCCTGGGCAACAGAGTGAGACTCTAACTCAAAAAAAAAAGAACAAAAAAAACCCAAGAAGTTGGTACCAAAGGTGTAGACAAATAATGACATTATTTTTCTATCAAAAGAATTCCTACTTGTGCTAATGATTAAGAACAGTTTTCTGTTAAAATTTCCAAAAGCATTGGTTTTATTAACTGCTTTTGAATTTAGTGCTTTTGTATCTAAAATTCATTTGTGGTTTAGGAATTTAAAATCCCAGTTATTGTCAACAAAATGCCAAGAAATGGAATTTTGGTAATAGGCAAGGTTAGCCAGTGCTTTTTTAAGTCTTTCTAAATTGAAGAAAGTATACTCACTCCAAGATTTCACCTTTATTTTTAAGGTAATTGTTTTAAAATTATTGTTTGAGGTTTTAAGCCTTTATTTTAAAAATTGCTGTGCTATAAAACTTACATTAAACTTGTTGAGTCTTGTTTTGATTCTGAGATGGTAGAATTCATATTCCAGCAAACTTTAAAATTGGTTGTAAGTCAGAATTTTCTTCCAATTTTCTTTAGGGTTTCATCAGAATGTTTAGTGTGGGATACTTGATCCAGTGCTGCCTTCGAATTCCCTCTGCATTTAGGCATCTGTTTACACAGCCATCCCGGCTAGTTTCTCTCTTCTACAATAAAGAAAACTTCCAGCTTGGAGCTTTTCTTGGCTCTTTTGTTAGTATATACAAGGTAAGATCTTCAGAAAAGGAAAGAAAAATGGGAATTATTAGAATGAGATATGGCCTTAATTCATTTGTCTTTTTTTTAATGCTTCCTTCTGAAGTACAGTATTCATAAATATCTTGACATCATCAAATGCATATAATATATTGAAGTTATTTCCTCAATTAAGGTTGAACATATTTCTTCCTTTAAAATATTATTTGATATACTTGAATGTGTAGATGTGTCCCATTTACATGTAGTATTAAAGATTCTCACACACTTTTTTTCTTTTTCAATGCATAGACATCCTGAGAAAATATGAATTTTCTGATATTCTCAACATAAAAAATGATATTGGTATACCTGGATTATCTCTTTTTCTTAATCATATTTAGTGCCTGGTCATTAATTTAAACATGTTTTAGATACTTTTAGCTGATAGCAGCACTTGATACCATCAGTAAGGATCATCTATTGTAACTTATACAAATAATGATTTATTTTCCTTCTTCCACCCAAATATTATTCTTACTACACTGTCTTAAATAGCCAGAGTTAATATTCTTCTACCCCATTCTGTATGTTCCTATAAATGCGCCTACACATGCATAAGCCCACACTTGATCCTACTTGTAGAGATCATTCTTGACACAATACTCTGCAACTTTAAGTAATGACCTTCTGTTTAATGGAATGGCTCATAAGTAAATTATATTACTGACATTTTATTAAACATTTAAAGTTCAGATTCTAAACCTAAATATAGCTTCTAAATGGTAAAGTGTGTTAATTAAGGTTGACCTGTATATGTGTATATATACATGTGTAGACATATTTATACACAACACATATATACACACATATTTTGTTGTTCTTAAACTCCAAGAAAATTAATGCTGGAAAAATTGAATTCTAGAGCTATTTTAGGTAAAATAGTCATGTGTCATTTTATGTAAAAGTTTACTCATAAAACAGGTATGGAGAAAATATTCTGAAATACAAAGAGGGAGTTATAAACTATAGGTAATGAATCACTTGTTAGGAAATATTGCTAATATTAAAACATTTTCAATATGGTTTGACTAGGAAACAGTACCAATGTCTTTAAATATACAAGAGTTAAGAACATTGTTGGCCATTATATATTTATATTCCCATTCTTTGTTATTTCCCATGTTGCAGTGTTTGTATTTATTCTTAGCATAAATTCTTAAATGTTTATATGTGGATTATCTCCTTCGTTTTTGGCCCCAGGGTTGGTTTTTCTCCATCATCCAGCACATCTTGATGTGTGTCTTGTTTTGCTTTTTCACTTCTGTTACTATTTATCCACTTAGGAAGTATAAACGAATGGTATTAAACTAAGGAAAATACAACTGGGACAGAAAATCTCATAGAAAATATTCATACAGTATGTTCAAAAGCCACATGTGATTTTTCAAAACAAAGTTTCGATGCCATTAGTATCTTTGTAAGAATGTTATTAAGAGAAGAGCAGACAAATAAACCTAATGTTTTCTGTTTTGGGGTGAATTGACCATTCTCTCGTTTTGTAAGGTTTCTTTTTATCCCTCAAAATGTTCCTTTTTCTGAAGTCTACTATGTTTAGTATTATAGAGCTATTCTAACTTTCTTTTCATTAGCATTTGATGGTATAATATTTTCATTATTTTACTTTAATCTTTGTCTTCATTTTAAAAGTTGGTTTCTTTTAGACCACATATAGTTGGTTCTTTGTTTATTATCCAATCTGATAAGCTCTGTCTTTTAACTGGTGTGTTTATATTGTTTACATACGAAGAGGGACCCAAAAAAACTCGGAAATATCTTTTGGAGGGTGGACCCCTTGTATTACACTCAGAATTTGTTCCTCTAGATCAAATGGTCAACCAAAGTTTTAATCTGGAAGTTTTTAGAAGGTTGTGTCATGATTGGCAGAAGAAATGTCCTGAGCTATGACAAGCAGGTGACTGGTTTTTCTACCATGACAACACACCTGCCCATACTGCACTGAATGTTTAGCAGTTTTTGACCAAAAATGACATGACCCCCATACCCCACCCTCCTATTCACCTGATCTCACCCCAAGTGACTTTTTTTTGTTTCCCCAATAAAAAAAAGTCCCCAAAGGGAAATGTTTTGCCAATGTAGAAGAGGTGAGACACAAAACTGCAGAAGCACCTTTAGCATCAAAATCGAGGTGTTCCAAAACTGTTTTGAGCAGTGGAGAAATCATCTCAATAGGTGCATTACATCAAACAAAGAGTACTTTGAAGGTGACTGAAATTTAAATGTATAAGACTAAATACACAATAAAAAAAATAAATTCCGGGTTTTTAGGATTCCCCCTCATATTATGTACTTATGATATGGTTGAGTTTAAATCTATCTTCTTGTTAGTTGTTTTATATTTTTTCCATTTTTACTTTGTTCTTTTTTTTCTGCCTTTGGGATTGATTAAATATCTTTCTATGACTCCATTCTATCTTCACTATTGACTTATGATTTATACAACTTTGTTTTAATTTAGTGGTTGCCTTAATACTTATATAGATGTTTTATATTTATCAGCCATTCTTTAATGTTATACCAGTTCTTGAATAGTATAAGAACGTATGTCACTACACTTCTGATTCATCTTTCTCATCCTTTGTGCTGTACATTTATCTTTACATATGTTATAAACTCCACAATATATTGTTACTATTTTTGTTTTAGACCAGTAGTCATCAGTCTTATCTATAAAGAGAGCCAGATAGTAAATATTGTAGGCTTTATGACCATATGGTCTCTGTCACAACTACTCAGCTCTGCCGTTATAGTGTGAAAGCAGCTACAGACCATACATAAATGAATGAGCATGACTGTGTTCCAGTAGAACTTTATCACACTGTCATTAGAAGTTCATATAATTTTCACATCACAAAATAGTATTTTAGTTTATTTTTCATCCATTTAAAACTATAAGAATGAGTATTAACTTCTTAGCCATATAAAAACAGGTTACAGGCCAGATTTGTCTAGTGAACCATAGTTTACTGACCTCTGCTTTATTTATTTATTTATTTTTAACTGGAGTCTCACTTCGTCACCCAGGTTGGAGTGTAGTGGCATACTCACGGCCACCTCAGTGCTGACCAGCTGGGCTCCGGCAATCCTTCTACCTCAGTCTTCCAAGTAGCTGGAACTACAGGCATGCGCTACCATGCCTGGCTAATTTTTTTATTTATTGTAGAGATGAGGTCTTGCCAAGTTACCCGGGCTGGTGTCGAACTCACAGGCTCAGGCAATCTGCTCGCCTCAGCCTCCCAAAATGCTAGGATTGCAGGCTTAGCCACTGAGCCCAGCCGATCTCTACTTTAGACAGTTAATTTATTTTTTGTGCAATTCAAGGTTTGTTTGTGTGTTTTTAATGTGTCTTCTAAATTTACCTTCATTTTTCTTTTTTCAGAGCTCTTTATGTTATTAAATTTTTGTCTGGTATCATATTCTTTCCATGTGTAAAACTACCTTTAATATTTCTGGCTGGGTGTGGAGGCTCACCCCTATAATTCCAGCACTTTGAAAACCATCCTGGGCAACTTGGCGAGACCTTGTCTCTACAATAAAATAAACTAAAAAAATTAGCTGGTGGTGTATGCCCATGTTTTCAGCAACTTGGAAGACTGAGGTGGAAAGATCACCTGAGCCTAGCAGGCCAAGGCTGTGGTGCCTGTGAGTGTACCACTGCACTCCAGCCTGGATGACAGAGTGAGACTTTGACTCGGAAAAAAAAAAAAATAAATCTGACAGCTCAGGTCTGCTGGTAATGAATTTTCTTAGCTTTTATCCTTCTAGAAATGTCTTTATTCTACCTTCAGTATTGAGCAGTATTTTTCTCTGGATGTAGAATTTGGGCTTGACATAATCGTAGTTTATCTAGCTTTGTATCCATGTTAGAATGGAAATGGTGCTTTTCCCAGCATTCCATAGCTAGGCAAAAGTGGAATTTATGGATTTATTTTAAAAACTTATTGCAATAAAAATATTATTTGTAAATTCTTAATATTATCTATTCAGAGCAATCATTTTGTGAAAGATTATTGTTCATATTTTTTCCAGTCATGTGTTCAGTTTGATTTGGATAAAATCACCCATTAGCTCCAGGGACATCTAGTGAATCACTCATTACAGTTGTTTTTGTTTTCAGGCATTTTTTTTCTAGAAATAAAGTAACTGAAGTCATTGTATTTTCTCTTTAATACAGGGTACTAGTTGCTTCCTGCGCTGGGTCAGAAACCTAGATGATGAACTACATGCTATTATAGCTGGTAAAACAATAATAAAAAATGAACGATTTTTTTTTATCAATCACTTGTAGTAATGAATCAGAAGTAGCTTCCAAATTCATCCAATTTCTATGTATCTTTCTTTCTCTGTTATAATAGAATCTCTATCAAGGCAGTCACCAAACATTTTGTTTGTTATGTTTGACATGTTAAGGCACCCTTGCCATCTGGTGTTTTGAGTTCATAATTTAATGCAATATGACTTGGGTGTCTGCTCTGTTATAGGCCAGAAATCCTAGGGAATATGTTCCAAAAGAATGTAAGGTCTTATATAGCATAAGTAACTAATTAAAGTTCAACTAGATTTATTTTGAAATTTTATTTATGCCTCTTTAAAATAACATATAATAATAATGTTTAAAAGAACTAAATCATTTTATAATAGTAAAAACTAGAGATCACATTCTATAAGTACAATATATGTATTACTTAAGTTAGGTAGGTCATTTATCAGGTATTTACTAGTGATAACTTACTTTTTAGTATTCTGGCCTTACCTGTCCCCCTTGGTTTTTCATTTATAGCATGAAGGCAAAGGTATGGAGAGAAGTGTGATGACAGCATTAAAAATAATTTGAGCTATTAGGAGAATACATGAATAAATATTTTCTCTCAAAATCAGAAATTATACCAATAGCCTTTAAATAATTATTTGTCAGAATTGATATATTTGGCAAGACTACTGTTCTTTGAAAAATTAAATTGAAATGTAAAGTTTCTTGTTTTACATAAATAAGAACTGTTTGTTCCTAACTCTGAAAAAACTAAATTTAAAAATATGTAACAATAAGAACTCTCCCCATTTTAATATCATCAGGCATATTACTGTCCTTGTGTTGTAACAAGAGACAGTGCTATAAACCAATTCTTTCCTATGTAAGTGAATTCTGATGACATAATAACAAATAAATACTGTGTGATCTGATCTGTCTTTTCTTATTGTTTTAGGATTTTTGGCGGGTATATCAATGATGTTTTATAAAAGCACAACTATTTCCATGTATTTAGCATCCAAATTGGTGGAGGTAAGCAAAATTTTTTTATGTATGAACACTTCCAAAGGATTATAAAGTTTTATTAAATGCTAACTGCTTTAGCAGCAAGTATATACATATATCCCAATTACAAAAATAAATTCTAATCCTATAAAAGTATTTGCAAAGTCAATTCCCTTATTTTTTTCCTTCAAATATACATAAGTGTAGAAAGAAGAGTGTAGTTAATTCTCATGCACCTGTCATGTAATTTCAACAGTTATCAGCATTTGGCCAATCTCTTTTCATCTGCACTCCTCAGTTCCCCAGGTACTGAATTATTTTAAGCACATCGTTTCATCTTCAAAAAAACTTAGGACAAAGACTTTTTTTTTTTTTGAGTCAGAGTCTCAGTGTGTTGCCGAGGCTAGAGTGCAGTGGCACACTCATGGCCACTGCAGCCTTGACCTGCTGGGTTCAGGCGGTCCTTCCACTTCAGCTTTCTAAGACTGAAGACATGCATCATTACACTCAGCTAATTTTTTGATTTATTATAGAGACGAAGTCTCGCCAAGTTACCCAGGCTGGTCTTGAACCCCTGGATTCAGGCAGTCCCCTCACCTCTGCCTCCCAAAGTGCTGGGAGTTCAGGTGTGAGCCACCAAGCCCAGCTTAAGATAAAGACCTCTTAAAAACAAACAAGCAGATCAACAATATGACTGCAGTATAACAACAGAACCATTATCATAAATTAACCCAGTAATTCCTTAATATTATCATATATCTAAGAATTTACACTACTGCACTCCAGTCTGGGCGACAAAGTGAGACTTCGACTTAAAAAAAAAAAAAAATTTACATCTTCAGTGATTATGTTATGAATATATTTTTGCAGTCACTTTGTTCGAATCAAGAGTCAAAGTTTTTTAAAATTTATGATGGTACCTCCACCCCCCAGTTCTCTTCTTTTTCCTTGCCATTTATTTGTTGAAGATCTTCCATAAACTTAGTTCCATAAACTTTTCTGCATTCTGTGTTTTGCTGATTGCAACCTCACTGTTGTGGTTTGTTTCTTTAACTCATGTATTTTCTAAGCAGTTAACTAGATCTTGAGGTTTAAGCAAACTAAGATTCAAATTACTCTGGGGGGCAGCATGGCAGATATAATTTGCATTTAGTGTGGATTTGAATTTCATGTTGCATAACATTTGTCTCTCTTTCTGCAATGCTAAGATTGATCAGTGGGCCTAGGTGTTCACAGCGCCAATATAAGGATCTCCAGCAACCTTTCAGCTAGTAGTTTTAGTATCCATTAGTGGTCATTACCGGGATTCATTATTTCATAAGGGGTTGCAAAATGGTGACAATCTACTGTTACAGTTTCTTCTGTATTTATTCACTGGAATGCTTTTTTTTTTTTTTGAGTTGGAGTCTCACTCCGTCGCCCAGACTGGAGTG